TAGAAATAACCACGAGCTCATTTCAATATATAAAAACAAGTTCAAGACACTTGAGGAAGGGTGAGAACACCTATCCAAGCAATCAAATACAAGAGAATAGTTTTTCACTCTTTATTTCCTTTCTCTTGTGAATGTTTTTGTTCTTGTGAGCTTAATTCTTTGTAAACACCTACCTTAGAGAGTTTTTCTTGTTTACATATTTTTCTTTTTGTAAAAGGAATTGTGGTTCTATCTTCGCCAATTGAAAAGATAGGGAGTTGTAAAGGTTACTCTTGATCCTTGAAAAAGAAAGAACAAATTAGTGGATTTGTTGGAAAAATCTAAGTGAGGAGCTTAGTCAGTGGATGTAGACGTTTTTGAGGGAGTTGAACCTCTATAAATCTCTATGCATTATTTTTCTCATTCTTTAAATCTCTTTACTCCCTAAATTTTTATCAAAAGCCATTTCACCCCTCTTGGAAAAAAGTTTCAGTTATCAATTAAGCTTCATAAATCCCAACAATTGGTATGAGAGCTTGAATCATTAAAAGATCTAGCAACCTCAAGACAATCCGTGAAGAAGCTCTATCGATTTTTGACACAACCAACAAGAAGATGACTTCGACCTCCGACTCCTACTATATGAAAGAATCTCAACCGGTCAATAAGCCACCTTATTTCAATTGAGCAAATTATGTCTATTGGAAGAATAGGATGATGCTCTTCATTCAATCCAAATGATCTAAGAGCTTGGAACTCAATCATAAAGGGATATTTCATTTCAACTGATGAGATAGATGATTAGAGTGATGAAGAGAAGAAGTTCCAACTCAATGCAAAGGCTATGCACATCCTCTTTTATGCATTAGGTCCGGATGAATATGGAAGAGTCTCATCTTGTTCTAATGCCAAGGATATTTGGGACAAGCTCCAAGTCACTCATGAAGGAGCCAATGAAGTGAGGGAAACCAAAATTAGTCTTCTCAACCATAGTTATGAGAATTTTAAGATGAAACCGAATGAAGACATCAAAGTTATGAAGGATATATTTTCCGTGATTGTCAACGTCTCAAGGGATTTGGAGAAGTAATCCCTAATGAGAAGTTTGTAAGGAAGATCATATATTTTCTTCCAAAGTCTTTGTAATCAAAGAAGACGATAATTATCGAAGCTAAGAACCTCAAGTCACTCACTCTTCTCACTCATAAGTTGATGGTAAATGAAGAAGATGATGATGAAGAAAAGAAGAACAAGAAGAATTAGGTAGGCATTGCCTTCAAATCCACCAATGAGAGCAATCAAGATACAAATGAAGAGGTGGATGAATATGATGAAGAAGAAGAATAGATGACCAAGATCTTCAAAAGATTCATGACTTCCAATAAGTGAAGTATGAATCAAGCAAAAACAAAGGTCCCCTGGTGTGCTTTGAATGTCAAAGAACGGGGCATGCCAAATATGATTGTCCCATCCTAAAGAAGAAGGGATCAAGTAAGAAGAAGGCATTTGTCTTGGAGTGATGAAGATGACTCCAATGATGAAGATAAAGTAGTCAACCTATGCTTTATTTCCATCAATGAAGATTCAATGGTAACTTCGAACTCTAGTGAATTAAATTCTTATTCGTTTGATGAGTTACAAGTTGTCTATGATGAATTGTATTTGGAATTTAAGACCATGAATTTCGAATATAAGAAATTGATTTCAAAATTCAAGGTTGAAAATGATTCTCTTTTGAAAGTAAAATTGGATTTTGAAAAGCAAAATGAAAATTTGAAAACTGATTTTGAGCTTTCAAAAACCAAAATTGAAGATTTGGAAAAGGAAAATCTTGATTTGAAAGTTAAGTTTGAATGTTTAACAAAAGAAAAAGAAATCATTTCGAAAAACAATTTATCTATTTTAAAAATGGCAAAATGCTCACATTGCTATTTTCAGGTCATATGGAACATGCTTGTCCTATAAAGAAAATAAAATCATTTAAAATTAGACAAATATGGGTTCCAAAAGGAACAAGGGGCATTGAAAATAACGTTCAAGGATACATAGCAACTTAGATACCAAAATCTACTTAAATGTCTCTTGTAGGTTTGTGGGATGAATGGTGACAAAGTGAAGAAATTGAGATGCTCTAGCGACAGTAGAAAAGGAATGAGTAACCTCTAAGCTTAATGTTTTTTGCTTTGATTAATTGGTTGCCTATTTGTTGTTTGCATGCATGAGTTTTGATTTTAAATAATTTTATGTTTTCTATTTCATGTATGTTAAAAAGTGTTATGATGAACATTTTCTAAAGTTTAATGATTTTTCATAAATGGTTGTTCATCATAATGAATTTTGGTCAAAATTGGCTTTCAATGTTTTGTTTTTACAAATTTTAAATTTTTTACCTCAATTTAAATTTATGCATGTGACTTATTTCAAATGATATCTCTCTAACAATTGGTATCAATTTTTCAAATGCATAACATTTTTGGATAACTTTATGCATATACGCTTAATTTAAACAATTGATATTGCATAAAGTTTATTAGACTTGGATATATATTGGATTTCATATGCTACTAACATGTTTGTTAATCTTTGTTGAAATTCAAAAAAAAAATTAAGTGTCAAACTTTTAAACTTAAATTTTTGTTTCAAATACTTTTATTGAGGAGGAGCTTTGATTTTTCAAATAATTTTAAATGTCAAAATTACTGTTTACTCTCCATTGTTGTTTTGTACCTTTAAAGTTGAATTATTGTGATATAACAAAAAGGACGAGAAGTATGAGTTTGAAAAATTCAATTTCTCAATGAAAAAGGGGAGTTTTAACATTTTCCAAAATGTGTCTCTTATTCATTAAATGTTTTATTAAAGGAGTGTTTTGCCAAAAAAAAACTATTTTTCAAATGTTTTGTTATATCAAAAAGAGGAAGATTGTTGAACCACTTTTTATAATATTAAGACAAAATATTTTTGGACTTGAATTGATTTTGTTTAAAGTTTTCAAAAATAATTCAAAGTCCATAAAACTATAATTTAAGCAAAAATAGTTTTCACGTACGAAGTACCGATACTATTCTTACAGTATTGATACTATATGAATAATATTGATATTGTTCATGTGGTATCGATATCAAAGGTAAAAGAAGTATTGATACTCTCAAGGTAGTATTGATACTACCAGCTTGCTCAAATTCTAGAATATAAAATAGATACCAATACTCAAAGGAGTATCGATACTACTTTACATAGTAGTATAGATACCATGAGCATAGTATTGATACCGTCAAGCCCAACGACTAGTTTTATTTAAAATAACAAAGGAAGTATCAATACTCATTAAAGGTGTACCGATACTCCCTGTATTGGGCAATTTTATTTTGCACGAAATTTCATCTCCAACGGCTTCAAATCACTCCCAACAGCTAGAAACGGCCACAAGCTCATTCCAACATATAAAAACAAGTTCAAGACACTTGAAGAAGGGTGAGAACACATATCCAAGGAATCAAACACAAGAGAAGAGTTTTTCACTCTTTAATCTTATAAATATTTTTGTTCTCGTGAGCTTAATTCTTTGTAAACACCTACCTTAGAGAGGTTTCTTGTTTACATCTTTTTCTTTTTGTAAAAGGGGTTCTGGTTTTATCTTAACTAATTGAAAAGATAGGGAGTTGTAAATATTACTCTTGATCATTGAAAAAGAAAGAACAAATTAGTGGATTTGTTGGAAAATCCTAAGTAAGGAGCTTAGGTAGTGGATGTAGAATTCATTGAGGGAGTTGAACAACTATAAATCTCTGTGTATTATTTTTCTCATCCTTTAAATCTCCTTACTCCCTAAATTTTTATCAAAAGTCATTTCACCCTCTTTTGGCAAACTTTTTCGGTTGTCAATTAAGCTTCATAAATCCCAACAGATTTAATGTAAAATGTGTATTGGAAATGAGTTAAATGTAATGGACTTTGGTATTGGGTCATATATAAAGGTTAATTGGGTAATGGGTTAAAATATATAATGGATGTGGGTTATAGTTTATAAAATGGACTTGTATAGCTACCCAACCCAAATAAATCTCTCTTTATTTTTATATATTTTCTTCTTCTTCGTGTTCTTCCTATTGATCGTTTTTATTTTATTTTATAGGATACCACACTTGACTCGAATCTCATAAACCCTAGCACTGGCCTCGACCATTTCGGTCAGCAGTAAATGTCGGCAGGAATACAAACGTAAAGAATGAAAATTTGATGTCTTCAATATCTTTCCATTTCCATTCAATCAAATTAAAATTAGAGGCACTCACCATAATATCTTTACAAAAAAAAAATTCATGCATCCCATTAATTATTCTCCAAATTAAATATATAATAATCATTACAACATTCACGAGTTAGTTATGGGGATGTTTAAAATCTAAAGGTAAAATGATTTAGAAAAGCACTTGCTTTAGTTCTTCATGCTATGTCGTCATTTAGTTTGAGAACTCATCATGTCCCTTTTCTTCTTCCTTTTCATTTTAACAAGAAGTAAAAAAATATATAACGTATGAATAGGAAAAAAATTATAAATAATAAAAATTTAAAATATAAAATTTATATAATCAGTGACGAAGTCATATTTGTGTGAAAATGGGTACTAAAATTCGAATTTAAATTAAAGAAAAAAGGTCAATAAGTTAATAATGACTCTTCTTAAAGCTAGCTAGAAGACCAACCATTGAGGCTAACTATTTATATTCCTTGAGATGTTCCTTTCTAACCTTGTTTTAATCTCAACTACCTTTTAATCTCTATTTTAATCGTTAATACACATACGAATCAAATGACCTTAATGCTTAAAAGGATAATAATTATCCATAGAGATTATGAGTTTAAGTATACTATATACAAGAGTGTTTGAACATCTATTGTCAAAAATATATTATTTTGTAATTATCTTAAACTAATTTATATAAAAAATCGTTAAAATATATTTACAGGTCAATTATTCCTATAACTTACACAAATGGTTTCTACTAGAGACCAAAGTAAACCCCAAAAACATGCTCTTTTTGTGTTTATTTTTTTTCCAGTAAAGAAGTGGATTGTATGAGTAGGATATATATATATATATATACATATCAGCTTTGGAAATCAAGAAAAGGGAAGGAAGAAACATCTTTCAGCAAGTCCTCAAAGTCCCATTCTCCAACTTGTAGCTCTTCTCCTATCCAAAAATCCCCAACAGCCGCGTTGCCTATGTTTTCGGATTTGCTAACGTTGTCTCTACTATTACTACTGCTTATGACATTGAAAGTGTTGTTGCTGTTCCATACGTCAACTGTATGTTCGGTTTTACGGTTCTTTTCTCCAATGCTTTCCAAAGGAGGGACATAGTCAACACTGCCTGACATCTCGTTTTCGCCGCAAAAGCCGTCTCCATTTATCGTAATCTCTGTGGCACGTGAGGCTGGATTGATGTATCCGGTCGCCCCGAATACGTCGAGTCCATGCTCGAGCATTGCTAAAGAGTTGCCGGTCGTGGCATGGTTCAGGACCTTGGATTGAAAGGAAGAATTGGACGAGGTTGATGGTAAATCCATGTACATAGGCAACATGCATTGTTCTTGCATTGACATGGTATCGGGTGTGGATGACAAATTCTTTAGCCTCTTCTTTATTGTCGAATTCCAAAAGTTCTTTATTTCATTGTCGGTACGACCAGGTAGACGAGCCGCTATTTGGGACCACCTTCGAGGGTTTGAAACATGAGCAAACCATGAAACAAAAGAGTCAATAAGTAATTTTCATCCATATATTGGACGTTAAATTGAATCCATTGAGTAGTCTTAGTAGTAAAACAGATAGTTATTATCTTTAGAAGTCTCGAGTTTGAACAATCTTATAATTATTTTATATTATTGTGCGTTAAATTCACTCATCTTTTATGTTGCTTACAACTTAATTCATTAATAGATAAAATATCCAAAAACTAAAAATGAACGAACTTGGGTTATTCATGCTACTTTCTCTTCACACTTTAATAATTGGTACCAACTACTCTAAACACCCCCATTGACTGGAGGCTTCATGGTTTGCATGTGCAAAGCAAACACAACGAGAGCTTTTGATTGGTGTTTCTCTCCTGAAATCACTCTAACTTCTATTCCCACTTCAGCCTTTTCAATTTTCTTCCTTTTTACAACATTAAGAACTATTCTAAACACCCTTTTAGGTTAATGGTTAATTCTCCGAGTTCAAATATTAGAAGCAAGGACGAAACTAAGATTAAATATTGACAGGCGACAGAAATATTAAATATTTTTAGAAAAATATAGTTTATTAGGTATTTAAACTCAAAATTCATAAGACAATGCCTAGTTTCTATGATATTTAAACTTACAATGACTTAAATTATTATTAGACCAAAAAATTTGAAAACATGAGAATATTTTCTTTTGTTCAACTCTACTTAATTAAATATTTAATAAATTCTTATATTTTTTTAATTTAAATATTTATTTTTACATGAACCACGATATTATTTAACTAAAATTTATTGAATATATAAATTTTATTTTTACAGAAACCATACCCCTTTGAGCCCAACATAGCTCCATCCTTGCTTAGAAGTAGCATTCCCTTCTTGGTGTATATATTTATATATGGAAGAATGTACCTTGCAAGTATGGTAAATGCAATTTTTTGTACAAATGAACCCAAAACTATTTTTGGTATATATAAAAATATATATAAAAGCAAATAAAAGTAAAAATAGCATTATACTAATAATTTATATCATTTGAAAAGATGATTTTTCCATCTGATTTTAATTGAGTTAATATTCTATTAACTATTAAAACTAACCAGCGACAGATATAATATTTTGTGTTTGGATAAATTTATAAAATTTTAAGAGATAAAAGAGATATAATAAATAAAAAATACTAAAAAAAATCTAAATTAGATACACACAAAAATTTACAAATAAGAATGCATGAAAGATAGGGAAGCACACCTGTTGCCAAGAATGGAATGCAAATGAACAATAAGCTCTTCTTCTTGTGGAGAAAAGGCTCCTCGTTTGAGATCAGGTCTCAAATAATTGATCCAACGGAGCCGGCAGCTCTTCCCACACCTTTGCAGGCCAGCACTCCTAGCCACTTCACTCCAACACCCCTGCCCATTGCTCAACATATAGTTGATGAGCTTATCGTCTTCCTCTGGCGACCACAACCCTTTCCTAAGCTTATTAGCACCACCACCACTGCTGACCTTTGCTGATGGATCAGTCCTCCTCATCAGGGTGAATAACAATGTTGATTTTGTTTGATCCTAAAGTATAACTAGTTTTGAAGATGTGGATTGTTGGATACTTTATAGAGTGGGGGGAGGCTTCATGAAGTGGAAATATTGGTGGTGGTGACGATGGTGATGTTTGTGGGGGTTTGCTTAGAATATAGGGAAGAAACAAGGAGAGATTGAGTTGGTTGATGGGTCTAAGTAGAAAACGGTTTGGATGGTAACTTTAGAAAGAGAAATTTAAAAGATAATTGGAGACGTTGTAGCAGACCCAGATATATATATATATATATATATATATATATATATATATATAATATAAAATTTTTGTTTGGACTGAATATAAATAAAATTTTAGGATAGGGACAATCAATTGCATAAAAAAATTTAAATTTTTATATAATTTAAATGTTTTCTTTATATTTTCTTTTAATGAGTCCTTATAATTTTATATCCTTAAAAAATTTATATATTTCTTAATATTTTATATTTCCTAGCATAAAATTTTGTGATTATCTTGTCTCTCTCTTTTTTATTAGTTTGAGGTGATTGCAAGATAATATATGTTCGAAACACTCTCAATCATTTGATAATAAACGTTTAAATACCCATGTAAATGACATGCTCGAACCTAAGACCTCTAAAAATAATAGGCATCCCTTAATTATTGAGGTCACTTGGTTCATGTGATAATTTTTATTTAATATAATCTTATCTTTTGACTCTATAATAAGGGAGAGTTTTATTTTTTTTTCTTCACTCACAAGGTAATCATCATAAATGAATCATAGAGAAAAGTGAAATAGTAAAGAAAAATGAAAGAAAAAAAAACTATATAGGAATATTTTGTCTTATGTAGAAAAGGTGACAAAACGAAATGTAATGGTGGATCCAAAAATTTAAAAATGAGGTCTACAACTTTACTTCTTCTTTTAAATGATAATGGGTATGTAAATTTTTTCCTTTTTTTCTTTTTCCTTTAACACGTTAAACTAAATTTAATAAATTTTTTAAAATAATAAGGATGCACTTTGATCCCTATAGAAGCTTAATGCATTCGCCCTTAAGAGCATGGGTATCTTTAGATAAAGTTTACAAATGATGACTAAATTATTTTAAAATAAATTTCTTGGTATTAAATTTTTAAAAAAATTAGAAAAAATATTAATTTTGTATTTTATTACAAAATATTTTTAAATAATGCTTTTTAATTAAATTAATTTGACTTTAATAAAGATATTATTTTTTTTGTTAATTCTTTTTATAAATGTTAAACTTTATTAGCATATTGAGATTGAGTGTGAATGAAGTTAGTTTAGCAGCTGAGCTGTATGCATGGTGTGAGGTTGTTGAGTATGTGTGAGCATGGAAGTCAAGAGTTTGTTATGAGGTTGTTACAAATCTGTTATGATTGGCTGTAAACAAACTATATAAATAGGCGTTAAGCCTTCACTGCAATATATGAAAAACAATAATGAATTTGTTTACTGAAATTTACTTTCAAATGCATTCTATCATGGTATCAGTCGCTTTTTGTTCCTGAGGTATTTTTTGCTTCGCTGCTTCATCTGCTGGTAGCCATGGATGCTGGGTCTGCTAAAACGTTCACTCACAAGAAGGTGAATGTTGTTCTTGATGAGTCGAATTTCTTACTCTGGAAGCAGCAAGTTTTGCTAACGGTTCGTAGCCATCGCCTCGAGCGGTTATTAACTGGTTCGCTGCAGCCTCCGCCTGAATTTATAGCAGGTGCGAATGGTGAATCTATACCAAACGAGGTGTACGACGATTTTGTAGCACAAGACAGTGCACTGGCGTCGTGGCTATTGTCAACCATTAGCTCTCATCTCCTTTCTCAATTTGTTGGTGCGGAGACAGCAGTGGCTGTTTGGAACAAAGTGCAGCAGTTCTTCGCGAGTCGTTCTACAACAGCAGTCATTAGTCTGCATTATAAGCTTCAATCTCTTAAAAAGGGAGATGACAGCATGAGAACCTATCTCACTCGGATTAAGGAAGTCTGTGATGCATTGGCATCATGTGATAGTGCGATCTCTCCTGCCGAGCAAGTAGCCAGCATCTTAAAAGGCCTCTCCAGGGATTATCAACCTTATATTGCTTTTATTACAACAATGAAAGATTCTCTCTCGCTTGATAAGGTATGTTCTTTGTTAATTGATGCTGAGACTCAAATGGCTGGATTTGATATTCGAGATGATCAGTTTCCAATGAGTGCCCATGTTACTAATCTGAGCACTTGTTCCAAATCGAACAACACAAATTCTACAAATCAATCTGCCTATCGTAATGAGTCTAGTTATTCTACTCGTGGACGCGGTCGTGGGAGACCACGGGTTCAGTGCCAGCTATGTGGAAAAATGGTCATCTAGTGGCTGACTGCTGGCATCGATTTGATAAGAATTTCTCTGGTAGAGGTTCTGCTCGTTCTTCATCAAGAGATAATTCTGGTAATGCTCATTACTCTAGTCTTGAAGCTGTAGAGAATGTAGCATGTTCCTACTGTACTAAAGGATTTGCTGAGGCTCATAGCGCTTCTACCTCTAGTGGTTCATGGGTGGTTGATTCCGGCGCATCACACCATGTCACACCTGATGCTTCAACTATTGGTCATAAAGGTGATTTTACTGGTCCAGGTAAATTGCTTGTTGGCAATGGTGTGCCCTTATCTATTCATACTTCTGGTCGATCTATTTTAACATCTAATTCTCGAGTGTTGTTATTGAATGACTTGTTGCATGTACCTACGATAACGAAAAATCTGCTCTCGGTGTCAAAGCTTGCTAAAGACAACGATGTTTACTTTGAATTTCGAGCTTCAAATTGCTGTGTTCGAGACGAGAGGTCTGGAGAAATCTTGTTGCGTGGTGAAGAACGAGGTGGTTTGTATTTCTTTCAGTCGAATATGGATACTACGAGTAGTGGTCAGGCACAAACTTATATTGCATTGTCTTCAAATAAGCTGTATGAACTTTGGCATAGGCGCCTAGGGCATCCTGCATATGGGACCCTAGAGCAAGTCTGCAAATCCTTAAATGTACTCGTTCAAAAGAATGTGAATGAATGTTGTGTTGCTTGTCACATGGGCAAAAGTCACAAACTCCCCTTTCATGCATCAGATTCGATTTATTCTATCCCATTTCAATTGGTTTATACTGATTTGTGGGGACCTTCACCAGTTGCTTCTAACGGATTTAGGTATTATGTGAGTTTTGTCGATGCGTGTACACGACATACTTGGCTCTATCTATTGCGTGATAAATCCCAAGCAGTACATGCCTTTCAATTGTTTCAACAGCTTGTAGTCACGCAGTTTAACTTGAAGATTTTAGCTGTGCAGAGTGATTGGGGAGGTGAGTTTCGAAGCCTCTCTCGTGTTCTTCAAACAACTGGGGTTGTGCACCGTGTAACTTGTCCACACACCTCCGAGCAGAATGGAGTTGTTGAGCGAAAACACAGGCACATCATTGAACTTGCGTTAGTTTTGCTTGCTCAGGCTTCTATGCCTATCACGTTTTGGACCTATGCCGCAACAACGGCTGTTCATCTCATCAACAGGTTGCCTACAAAGGTGCTGCATGGGCTCTCTCCATATGAGTCACTATTCCATAAGCAGCCTGACTATAGCTTGCTGAAGGTTTTTGGTTGTAGGTGTTTTCCACACCTTAGACCATTTAACCATCATAAACTGGAATTTCGTTCCCAACCGTGTACATTTCTTGGCATTAGTCCCCAGCACAAAGGTTTCTTGTGTCTCGGAAAGAATGGGCGAGTGTATGTGTCTAGACATGTAAAATTCGATGAATGGCATTTTCCGTTTGCAACTAAGTCTGGTCACAGTTCGTGCAGCTCCTCTGCACAAATCAATCAACCCCTTGATGTTGTAGTAGATATGAATCGGTTACTTGCTAACAATGCAGGGGTACCAGGAAATCAGACTACTCCTGTACATGAGCCTGAGAGCTCAATTGCTGGTTCTGCTGCTTCCTCGAATAACCTTGAGGAATCATCTGAGGCTGTGGATAATGATGAGACTGTTGCACCTCATAGTAATCATCATCCCATGCTGACTCGCAGCAAATGTGGTATCTATAAACCCAAGGTATACACCATTGCTCTTGATGACGATGTTCCATCTAATATTCATGATGCATTAATGTCACCTAAGTGGGCGGCTGCTGTGAATGCGGAGTACTCGGCTTTAATCCAAAACAGAACTTGGAGTTTAGTTGAGATGCCTCATGATAGAAGTGTTGTTGGCTGCAAATGGCTATTCAAACTAAAAAGGAACCCAGATGGTTCTATTCATCGATATAAAGCTCGCCTAGTTGCCAAAGGTTTTTCGCAAGTTCCTGGCCATGATTTTGTGGCCACATTCAGCCCAGTTGTTAAGTTTGCAACTGTTTATGTGGTGCTAGCAGTAGCAGTGGTTAAAGGGTGGTCTCTACGACAAATAGATGTCAATAATGCGTTTTTGAATGGAGATCTAGCTGAAGATGTTTATATGCAACAACCGCCTGGTTTTGAGCAGCTTGGCTCCAATGGAGTTCCTTTAGTTTGCAAGTTGCAGAGAGCTTTATATGGACTTCGTCAGGCTCCTCGAAACTGGCACGATAAACTCAAGAACAGTCTACTTGAGTTGGACTTTGTGGTGTCAAGAGCTGATACGTCCCTATTTGTGCGAGTTGTGAATGATTCGTGCACGTATATTTTAGTATACGTTGATGATATAATCATCACTGGTAGTTCGAATGCTGATATTGATACTGTTATTAATATGTTGCACAAAAAGTTCTCTCTAAAGGACCTTGGAGCACTTTCGTTCTTTCTTGGTATTGAGGTTAAGAGGAATGATGCTGGTTTAGTCCTCAGTCAAAAGAAATACATACTCGAGTTGTTACAGAAAACAGATATGCTTCAAGCTTCTTCAACCTGCACACCTATGGTAGTTGCTATGAAAAAATCTGGGAAAGGAAGTGTTCTATTAGACAATGCACGTGATTATCGAAGCATTGTTGGTGCTTTGTTATATGTCTGCCATACTAGGCCTGATATAGTATTTGCTGTCAACAAGGTGGCACAGTTCATGCAAGCACCTTGTGAAGAACATTTGGTTGCTGTTAAGCGCATCCTACGCTATCTAGCTGGTACATTGGATTATGGCTTAGTTTTCTCGTCTGAGCATACTATGTTGTGTGTGAGAGCGTTTTCTGATGCTGATTGGGCAGGTGATATTGGAGATAGGCGCTCGATGACTGGCTATGGAGTGTTTGTTGGCAACAACTTGGTTACATGGGCATCTAAGAAGCAAAAATCGGTGTCACGCTCAACGATGGAGGCTGAATATCGAAGTATTGCAGAAGCTACTGCTGAAGTAACTTGGGTTGAAGCCTTATTAAGTGATCTAGGATTGCATTCACTAGATAGTCCTATTGTTTGGAGTGATAACACAAGTGCAGTGGCAATGACTGCCAATCCAGTGTATCATGCGAAATCAAAACATGTTGACCTTGACATTCATTTTGTTCGAGAAAAGGTTGCTGCTGGCAAATTGAAGGTGAGTTATGTACCTGCTGATTTTCAACTTGCTGATGGATTTACCAAGCCTTTAGCTAAGGCATCGTTTCAAGTTTTTCGAGATAAGGTCCATGTCCAACAATGCTGAGTTTAGAAAAGGAAAAGAAGAAAGACGGGAGAATATTAGCATATTGAGATTGAGTGTGAATGAAGTTAGTTTAGCAGCTGAGCTGTATGCATGGTGTGAGGTTGTTGAGTATGTGTGAGCATGGAAGTCAAGAGTTTGTTATGAGGTTGTTACAAATCTGTTATGATTGGCTGTAAACAAACTATATAAATAGGCGTTAAGCCTTCACTGCAATATATGAAAAACAATAATGAATTTGTTTACTGAAATTTACTTTCAAATGCATTCTATCAAACTTTAATAGAGATATTTTTCATTTGAATTAATTTAAATTAATCTTGAAAGAATCAAATTAACCGTTCACCGACCAAACTAATTTCAATAAACATCGTTTAATCAAACTAATTAAGTTGATGTCGTAGATCAACCAAATCGCATTAAGACAAAGAGCACAACAAAATATGATTCATTTCTGGTCCTATTAAATGTAGCAAATATTTGATGCAGGGAAGGCTGCTTCTGTAATTATAATACAATAAAACATTCAAAACATGTTGTGACAGACTAATTCACTATACAAAGCCATTTTGAGGACAAGACACCCCATGGTTGAACATAATCTACCTGCCTGACTGTTACGCCGCCAAAAACATACTCTTCGAGATTCAGACACTAGCTGAGACTTCATTTTTGGTCGGTTTATCCTTTTTCTTTCCAGGATCTTGTTGAGCTTTTTGTACAACAGCCTCGTTTGGAACCAAAACTATGAATATATTCCTGTCTTTGAAGTTCTTGCTTTCCTCAGTTGCAAGCTGGAGATCAAAGATGGGGTTTAGGATTACAGTTACGAGCAGCTTCAGCCAAAACAATAAATAACTAAAACTTGATGTTTATTGTAGCTTTGGAATACGATTTTTGATAGAAGCCACGGTCAAACGAGTTACTCCCACAAACTTTTAACCCCAACCGTTGTTGATGGAGATAGCTTTGATTGAACAATGGCACTTCCGTATCAAGGAAGAGACTAGGGAAAGTTAGATTCAATGCCAAGTATGATCAGTTCACTGCGATAGTACCATTCATATGACAGTACCATGGTAATCTATCAGAGCTTTTCGCCTCCAGTGTTAATGAAAACATGACTCGAATGAAACTTGTATATCGAGGAAGCCACAAGCCTAAAGCCCTATTAGTATCAGGCTTTTCTAATGTTTGCAATTTCAACAAAGGAAATACACAGCCTCAAGAAAATTAGGTTAAATTGCAAGCCTTTGTATAGGGTTTATGTAAAAGGGTAGGTTGTGGTATGCCATCTTTCTTTCCCAAGACAGTAAATTGTTTTATCATAAATAAATAAACTGCACGTTAATGATACAATTATAAAACATCCCGGACCTAGAAACTACAATCAAGATATTAAATAGTAGAATTATAGTTCATTCACCAAGTCATCGATGCTTAAAAGAAAAGCTAGACACCCACATAAAAGATATTTGGGTCAGACTACAGTCGTCGGGAGAAAGAAATTTAACAGCAGTCAAATATCTATGAAGCATCCGTATGAAGTAAATTCACCGAGAGAAACTTATTTTGTAATTATGGATATTAATTTCACATCAACAAGACCAAAAAGACAAAGGAAAAACAGCAGTAAAATACTGGAATTATGACTGAAATACGAATGGGAAAGATGGAACTCAAGAAAAATTAGTGGTATGGAAAACCTATGATTTTCTATTAATTCAAATAAAACAATAATGATAAGTTGTGGTTATAGTATTTTTTACGGCTTATTTATGGTAGGGTTACAAAGATAATTTTAATCTTAGCAGTTAGCCCTACATTTAAAACATAGAGAAACTTGGTACAATAAAGCTCCTGCATCAATAATAAAAGCCAAAAAGTTGTGAGATTAAAGACAAAGAACTATGTTTTAGAGTTCCAAAACATGTTCAGTTTTGTCCCCAGAGTAGTTTCGTTTCCCGGAGGAACGTTTTGTCAGCATCAATCCAAAGAAAGGAAAGTTTAATAGTTGAGTCTAACAAAGAGGACATAGAAGTATAATGCAAATACTCACCCCATTTTCAACTCCTTAAGATCCATGCGATTGGCTGACAGATGAAATAATAGTTTACTCGGCATCAATCCGCAAAAAGGAAAGTTTAGTCATGAATCAACTAGAAATGCACAGGGAAGTGCTAAATCCATAGTCAATCTGACTGTGTCAACAGGATCAAATTAGAACAGAGATACTTTGCCACCAGCCAGATGTTGTATGACTTTAGCATTCCCCATTGAAAACTCTAACAGAGAGGACATTAACACGCACTTTTCTTCTGCTGTACTTTCTTCTTCTTTTGTTGTTCATATCTATACTTACTGAGGAAAAGGTAAGAACAAGTATGTTAGACACTTCAAAATGAAATTTCAAAAGAAAAAAGATATGTAAAACTACGAATATTAATTTAATATTTTTTAATCTCGGTCCAATAGTGCTGCCATCAATAATGTGGGCGTGACTTGTAGATAAATAACATCATTAAGATATGAATTTTCATAGAAATTAATATGGGAATTCAGTTTCTTCAGTAGGGTAGATGAAGAGGCCTGGTAGACTCAACTGATTTCCCCCACCCTTTATCTACATCATATCGAGAGGGTAAATAGTTACTTTTGTCTCATCTAAAAGGGATGCTCGAAGCTTTAAATATCTCTTCCCCATCTAGACTTTCAAAAAGAAGATCACAGTATAGCAGTCACTTTTATTCCACAACTATTTCCTCTAAACGAGTAGGACACAAATTCCATAAATGAATGAATGATAATATACTAATACTATTTCTCTCAAGTTATCATAAATCGTATCATACTTATAATCCATTATTCTGACAACAGGAGGATCTGCATCAGGGGATAATATCACCTGCAAAAGTGGTATTAAAACAAATTTCAGTATCAACACCACACACACACACAAGAATTTCAAAGAAACTTTGTTTTCTAGAAGAGAAAAAATATAAGTTCTGATGAACTTAGCATAGGCTACTAAAGTAAATTCAAGAAGAAAAAACCACATAGACAACGAACAGATGATGGTATAATGAAATACCAAATTGAATGTCCCTACAAAACTTAATTTTTATTGTATCTGCTTAGAGCAAAGCAGATTGTAGGTTCACAGTACCCTTATCAAACCAGTATAGCATCAATCACTAGGTTGAACATCTAGTTGATCATTTCATATTATTCTCTCTCTACTTGCCATTTGGCATCAAATCTTCTCAAAAGACTGAAAATGCCCAAACTATGATGACATCGATACCTTCTCAGGCAAGTAGCTCATCATATACATACTCTAGCATGCAACAAATGTCTTCTAGCAAACAGACATGAGGTATTAAACAAGCACTTTGATTAACCTTCATGTAGCCACAAAGGGAGAAAAACTACAATAACGCTGATACCTAAAGCATGAAAGATAATCATAAAGCTTCCCATCCCCAGTAAGCAAAAGTTTGTGGATTTAAATACACTCTCTTTGTACTATCACATAACATTCATATGTAATAAAACCAATTGTACAGCATGGAAGTGTAGAAGGCTCGATTGAATTATAACCTTTACGAATTGCTTTTTTCCATCCAAAAGTAATAGGAAAAATGGTGTTTGTATGAAGAAAATAAGTTTTTGAAATTGTTACAAAACTAAAAAAAATCAACTGTTTGTACAATATATTCACAAACTCTTGTGGGAATATTGTGCTACCAATACAAACAATATATTCACAAAACAAAGTGATCCATTCAAGCAAAAAAAAAAAAAAAAAACTGCTCCAGTTTGTACAAACTAATAAGTCCTAGTTATTAACATAGTGAGTTTGTACAAACTAATAAGTTCTAGTTACTAACATAGTGAGGATAAAAGCATACCAAATCGAGTCCTGCATCTTCAGCCATTTCAATGGCCTGGCTTTTAGACACTACCCCAACCTAAACATTAACAAAAACACAATTGATAAGAAGAAATCAATGTAATGCATAAAATGCCATCTTATCAGTAAACACAAAAAAATGAGAGATACAAGGAAAATGCCTAATCATATTTTGCTCCTCATCAATAAGCCTGACAGAATCAGACTTAAAACCAAAGCAACACAGAAATAAAAACACACCCTTCAAATTAAAAAAAAATGAAAGAAACAAAGCTGCCGCAAAGCTGCAATTGAATCAAACAACACAAACGAAAACCTGATGGAAGATAAATCAAGAGCCTGGTCTTCATCATTCCTCTTGGAACGACCGGGAGCGGCGGAGGAACGAAAATCACCACCACCCTAACGGGCGGATATAGCAGGCGGAGCAGACCAGTGGAGAGACGAGGAGGAGAAAGTGTTTGGGAAGCGGAAATGAGGGCCAAAGTGCTTGGATTGGAGGGAAGAGAGGAGTGATCGAGGTATGATGATCTTGGTGGGTCTAGTCGGGATGGTCTTGAAAGGGAAGCCGGTGGCAATCCCAGCCATGGCTCTGGGTATACAGGAGGAATATGCTTATCCTTAAAACTTCAAAACACCAACTCATGAATTCATGTGAGCCGTGCTTGCGCCTGTAATCTGAATGTTAAAGAGGATAAACTATAAGTTTAGTACTTAACCTATTACTTTCATTCCATTTTGGTATTTCAACTTTATCTTTTTAAACCATATTTAACGTTTAGTTTAGGTTTTAATTTGATATATCATCATTAAAAAATTAAAAGAATTGTTGATATGATATTATCTTATGATAACACGTTGATATCACTGTTATGTTTTTAACAATAGGTACCAAATTGAAACATAAATTAAATATTAAGTATGATTTGGAAGAAAATAAACTTTAGATATTATAGTGGAATAAAAGTAATAATTTAGATATTAAATGTGTAGTTTATCTAATATGAGATTTATTAGGTTATTCTTTTACCTGATATGTGATTTTTTTAGAGCACATCAATCACACTCAAAATGAATATTTAAGGGTGTGTTTGGTTCACGGAATGTAAGATTACCAGTGTGAATAAAAGATTACCATGGAATAGGATTACTGAGAATGTTGTATTTTGTGTTTGGTTGGTTTAGCAGGAATGTAAGATTACCGTGTTTGGTTAAAGGAATAAAAGATTATTGGAATGTATATTTGACCAAATTGTTCTTATTATATATTTGTATAATATTACAAATTGTAAAATGTTTATATATTTTCTTTAAAAAATTAAATTTATCATATTTATATAATTTTTTTTACAAAATTAAAAATATAAAAAAGGTTTAATGAAAGGGTAAAAAAAATTTTAACCCCTGAACTTCATATAAAATTTTAATTATAGATTTTTTTTATAAATCTAAAATAATTTAAGGATAAATTTGTAATTTAATATTCGTAGAATTTTTATTATTCAATGAGAGAAGAATGATATTTTTGAAAAATAAAAATAAAAATTTAAGGGCATTTTAGTCCAAAACGCCGATAATGTTACAATACATAAGGGAAGGGAGGTAATGACATTCCCGGTAATATACCCCAAAAAATCTACTATTGGTAATAAAACATTACCGGGAATGAGATTCCCGGCCAACCAAACATGGGAATCCCATAATCCTTGAACCAAACACCCCCTAAAGATTTTAATTTTGAGTGGTTATATTTATAGAAATATAAATATATTATTAATAATAACAATAAATTAGAAATATTTTGTTATCTTATAATCCTTAAAATTATTTAAAAAATATTTTATAATGTGAAATTTTAAATAATATATGTTATTTAAAAATTTTAATATTTATTTTGTAAGCCAATTCGATAATAGATACTTTCTATTTATGTATTATAAAGAGAAAAAAGCGTCAGTGACCGAAAATGTCTTATAATATACGATTTTAATCAACTTTTTTTTGATTTGCCAAAATGACCAACAAAATCGCAACGCGATATCAAAACCGCAACGCGATTTAGAAAAGCGCAACGTTGAAAAGAAGATCGCAACGCGATCTTCCAAGAATCGCAATGCGATTCATAAAATCGCAACGCGATCTTCCAAGAATCGCAACGCGATCAGAAAATCGCAACGCGATCTTCCAAGAATCGCAACGCGATTCAGAAAATGAGTAAATTCTTTCAAAAGCTGTTGCATTTGTTTCTTTCTTAAGAATTTTCTCTAAAAAGATAGTATCCGCGCGGACGTGTCGAAGACACGTATGACCACGACCACGACCACGACCACGACCACGACCACGACCACGACCCGACCCGAGACGAGACGGCGGCGGCGGCGCGCGAGAGTCCCCCTTGTTCTCTTTCACTCAACAAGGAAATGGGAAATCCAAGCCTTAAATACACTTCCCAATAGTGTTTCCAATACTATGTGGGATTGAGCATTACTCAACACTTCAAAGAAAATATAGCAATTTTTGTAGCATGTTTCCCGCTTAATCCATATTTAAAAATATTAAAATATTTTATCATATTAAAACTATATGTATAAGTTTGAATTGAAATGTAGATATCTACAACTCTTTTAATTCTCTTGATAAAATGTTTTAATATTTTTAGATATGGATTAAGTGGGAAAATACTACAAAAATTGCTATATTTTCTTTGAAGTGTTGAGTAATGCTCAATCCCACATAGTATTGGAAACACTATTGGGAAATGTATTTAAGGCTTGGATTTCCCATTTCCTTGTTGAGTAAAAGAGAACAAGGGGGACTCTCGCGCGCCGCCGCCGCCGCCGTCTCGTCTCGGGTCGGGTCGTGGTCGTGGTCGTGGTCGTGGTCATACGTGTCTTCGACACGTCCGCGCGGATACTATCTTTTTAGAGAAAATTCTTAAGAAAGAAACAAATGCAACAACTTTTGAAAGAATTTACTCATTTTCTGAATCGCATTGCGATTTTCTAAATCGCGTTGCGATTCTCTTAATCGCATTGCGATTCTTGGAATATCGCGTTGCGATTTTCTTTTGACCGTTGCGATTTTCTTTTCGACGTTGCGATTTTCTAAACCGCGTTGCGATTTTGATATCGCGTTGCGATTTTGTTGGTCATTTTCGCAAATCACAAAAAAATTGGTTAAAATCGTATATTATAAGTCATTTTCGGTCACTGACGCTTTTTCCTCTATTATAAATTTAAATGTCAACGGTTTCATTTCTTTCCATTTAACTTTTTTTATTTTTAAGGTATGAAGATTTAAATAATATATATTATTTTAAATCAACTGATAATTGATACTTTTTGTCTAAAAATAATATATTTATATTATATTTATGGGTTAAAATTAACTTACTTCTGGCGTAAAACTATAGACTTTTACATTTTTTTAGAATCATTTGATAAGGGGAAATTAAAGGCTAAAATTAATTACTTATTTTTTTCAGTAAATATCTTCTCATTCCCTACTGTTAGTCTCAGGCTTTAATTTTTCTTCATCTAACAATCCTAGTCCTATGTTTATATATGTATATATATATTTCATTTAAATTGTTTCCTATGTGTTGAATTTTTAACAATTATTTTATTATGAATATTTTAATGATCCTAAAATTTCATTTAAATATATTTTATGTATTGTTTACAAATCTTAAGACACTACAAAAAAGAAATTTACAATTTACAAAAAAGAAATAGAAAATTACCTCCTAGGTGACAAGTTATAGGATAAAAAAATTAGAACAAGTTTATAATAATCACGGACTAGTTTACCAAAAGGGCATGCTTGACACTTAAACATTCAAGATGCATACACTAACAAACAAAAAATATAAGGGTAAACTATGTGGATATTCCCCTATGTTTAGGGTTTGTTCGATTTTGGTCACCAATTTAAAAATTAAAGAGACTAAAATGGCTGAGGGACTAAAATGGTTGAGAGAGTAAAATGGAACGGATCGATAATGTTAGGATCATTCCCCTTTAATTTTTAAATTGGTGACCAAAGTCGATCAAACCGAAAACATAGGGGACTATCTGCATAGTTTACCCAAAATATAACTATTATGATGATTAAGAAGCATTTTGGAAGTTTAAGGTTGGTTTTTTAAAAAAATGTTTTTGTTTTGTTGTTTTTATTTTTTAAATTTTTTTTATGATTAGAAAAATATATGTGATTAATATATATGAAAACTTGAATTTAAAAATAAAAAAAATATATATGATATCTAATTTTTTTTAAATAGAGAACAACAAATAGTTATTAAATAATCAAATTAAAATATAATTATTAAAAATTTTATTACACAAATTTAACATGTGGGTTATACAATAATAAAATAATAAAGTATTATATTCCGTGCATATTATATGATCTTAATAAACATTTATTAAATTAATTTTAGTATTGGTTCAATTATATTTCTTTTTAATATACATCATAGTATTATATTTACCCGTATGTATTAACTTTGTTTTATATAGCATCATATTTCTCTCGTAAAGGATACATGTGTTTTATGTGTTTGATTAGTGAACAGTGTATTAATAAATTCTAAATTAAGGTATACTTTTCGTACGATTAATCTATGAAATCGCCTTATGTCGTCATCGTTTTTCCTCCGGGTGAGAAAAAATCTAGTATGACTCGGGTTATTTTTTAAAAGATTTTAAAATGTGAGGAGTCGCCACCAATCATTTTAAGGTGCGATCGATACACCATAAAATCGGGAAATTTTAATAAAATATTTTTATTTTATCAAAATATCAAGTTTAGGGTCTATGAAAACAAAAAAAGGTTTAGGAGTTAGTTACATGCGGGGAAGGATTATCACCCCCACAACGCGCAAAAATTGGTACCTAGTTGATTGTCTTATATTTAAAATTGGAAATTCTGAGTTTGAATTTTATTTAATCGAAAATTCACTATGGATGCACAGTTGAAAAGGATGTTCGTTTATTTAAGCCAATAGTGTTCGCCCCTACCATGAATGTCGGATATCAACTATTAGGCCCAATAACCAGACATTCCTTGATTTTAAGAAATCATGATGCGGTCTTGAAAAATATGTCGATCTACTTCAGGAATCACTAATAGTCACCTCTGAGCATACTTACGGGAGATATACTATTGACTCCCTAATAAGTGAACATTGCCTTAAGTTTTAAAAACGTGTGCAACCAATCAATCAAATAAAACCCAATTTCACTAGGTGAATTCATTAACGCTTCTCCTAACCTTAAGTGTTAAATTATAAAATTAAGAAACATAGAGGACTAAACTTGAAAATAAGTTTCTAATGTTAACCCCAGCTGATTTTATTAACCAATTATTGGATCGGATAATTGATTTGAGCACTCAGACATTTTATGTTAAAACTCAAATTGTATTGTTCTCTAATTAAAGGACTAAGATGAAATTAAACCTAAGGTGTATGCTCTAATTGTTAACCTAATTAATTATGTTAATTTAAAATTCTGATTAAAAGATTAAGGACTAAAATGCAAGGCAACTAAAATCCAGAGACTAAATGTAAAAAACTAAAGTTTAAGGACCTAAGTGTAAATAAACTAAAGTAAAAGGACTAAATCT